GCGGCCTGTGCAGGTCTTGCAGCTCCCAGACTGCGTAAGACTTCAGTGCCATCACGTGGTCGCTCTGCCTCCTACACTGTCTTCCCACTCAAATTTGCTTTTTTTCATCTATCCCAATCCCTGCTGGCTTCTCAGAGCAAGCCAGTGCTTGAAAGGTTAAGAGTTTACCTGTGTTTCCAAATCTACAGATTTACATACCTAAGAAAGGTCAGCAGAAAGTTCCCGTATTTGGAACTGGAAACGAGGAAGTTCAGGGAGTAAGGGAGGGCCTGTCTCCTTTGAGTTTCTGGGTTCAGCTCTTGTACTAGGTGTATCTGGTTTAGCTCTGATATATTCCTTACTCTTCTGGACAGCACACCCTAGATACAATGGATCTTTTCACATTTTAGAAAATAAATGATTATGGGAGGAAAACTTGGAGTTGAAAATCAGCATCGTCTCAAAATTCAAAGTAGGCTCTTATCAGTGCTAAAAAGACTCCACTTTAGACTGTTTTCCTGGTTTAGGAAACATCTGCAGCATTTGTTTGGTTGTTACTGTAAAAGCCCCTCTGGGTGTTATGAACAGGAGAAAGCAAGAGCTCTGATAAAATTCATTCCTCAGACCAGGTGTGGCAGGATTCCTAGGCTGAAGTGGCATACCTCCCAAGAAAATTCTAGAATTTTATGCAAAAAGCAGATGCTTACCTTGAGTTTGCATTAACTTCTCTCTACTGTGAATGTAGATACAGTCTTTAATGCATGAATACAGGTTAATTCTAGTAGAGAAAACATTAGCATGTGTCCTCAGTGTTCACAATGGGGTGTTTTTTATTAAAGGCTCTTCAGTATAGCATTGTTTACTGTATAGTCTCCTATCGAGTTTGCGAACATGAAATCCTATTAAAGGAAAATTAGAAGGTGTCTCGGAAACTGAGGACATACATTGTAGTGATATTGCAGGTGTAACAGATTTTCTGCATATTTACTTCATCCTGTCCTCCATTCAATGATTCAATAAATACTTATTCATTCCTTTATTCAGCCATTTTGGCAAATATTTATTGACCACCTACTATGTGCCACCAGGGGCTAGTGCAGAGAAGGGGAAGTGTACTTCACCACCTGAACATTGCATGTTTCTCATCCTGGTCAATGTGGAAAGTGTGAAAAGATGTTAACTGTTCAGGTGCAGAATGGAGGAGACGGCTCTTAGGAACTAAAGTTGTGGCGTTGCTGTTAAACACACACAAGGAAACCCCAGGTCTGTTTACACAGCCTCTGGAGGTGGTGGTCCCAGCCCTGTGGCCTTCACTCTCGGACCACATCCACATTGGTACTCACTTCTGACCCAACATTTTCTGAAGGATGCTCACACACTGGAGAGTATTCCAAGGTTAATAGTGATTGGCATCATTCGACAGATGAGAGAACTGGCTGAAGGAGCTGGAGTTGTTTAATTTTAAGGAAGCTTTGGAGAAAGGCAGTCATCATTCTGAATGTAGACTGATTCTGTGTTGCCCCGAGGACAGATAGACAAAGGGCAGAATTTTTGGCTTCTCATGGGGAAGATGATTTTAGCAATTAGCACTTGAAAATGGAGAAGTTCTTGTGCTGGAAGTAGTCACAGAACTAAGTGATGGTGTGTCTACTGTGTTTATATTTGAACAATGGTAGTGAGAACTTCCTGTGCTTAGTGGGAAGCTGGACAGCATCTCAGCTCCCTTCCAGTTCTGAGGTTCATTGCAATTTATTGGTTCTTAGGGTACATGGAAATTAGATGAATTAGCCCTCTAGATAAAACATAAGGGAAAAATAGACCCAAACCTTTTAAAGAAGGTTTTATCTCGTCTCTACCAGCCCTCCTCTCTGTTTTGGCCATGTTCTGCGGGAAAGAAGCCATGACTGGCTCATCATGACGACTCGCCCGACTTATGGTGAGGGTTCGGGAAGAAATGGACAGCCAGTGCAGCCACTCCTGCTATCCGAGGCCAGAGAAGGATATCATTAACCACAGATCTCAGCCAACTCCAGAAATGGTTGGAACTCCCAACCCTGGCAGCTCAGCTATTGCCTGAGTTAAGTTCTTAAATGAACCTGCAGCTGCTGATTACCATGTAGCTGAAAGGATGGATTGGGGATACCCTGTGTCTTGTCCATCACCCAGAGATTTAACCCTGTTATGGAGTATTGCTTGAGCTCTGAACCCAGGGCTCCAGCTGGGCACTATGGGAAAATTGGAGTGGGTTGATGTGTTCAGCGGCCTCATATTTCCTACCAGCCCCTCAAGACTGTTGTGATCTGGTCTCCTCTCCCTGCCTGTGACAGGGATGCAGTTCAAGGGCAGTCCTAGTTTTTCAGAATAAGACAGAGGCAGGACTGGAGGTGGGGAATGTTCTTGCCTGACCTCTGAGCGTTCACTCCCTGTTGTAATTTTGTTAGCGCTTGCTATCAGCTGCTAGGCCTTGGGCAACAGTCACTCAAAATGGAAGTGTGCAGGTTCAGGTTCAATCCCTAAGAATGCAGCCCATGATCCAGAACCCAGATCCAAAGGCCTGGCCTTTGGAAGTGATTTGGAGGAAAAGCATGGACTCTGGTGTTAGCACACCAAGGACCGTTCTGTCCTAGCTGAGGTCCCGGGTGTGTCAGCCTCTCCACACCTCAACAGCTGCAAAATGACAGTAATATTCTATGTAACATTCCCACCAGATCCTCACTGAGTACTCACTCTCGCCCCTCCTCTTTCTCTCTCTGTGGAAACAATTGTCGTAAATCCTAAGAACTAGACATGCTAGTATCACCTGATAGAGAGGGCACCCAGTGAACTGCTGACAGTTGTCAGTCTGATTTCATTTTCTCAGGGTTATGGCCTCATGTTCATCTGCAGAGGTAACCTGTCGACTGTTGAAAGGGTATTCATTTTTTAAGTTAATTTTGAGTTTACTTATTGAAAGGGTGGGTTTGGTACTAATTCGCATCCCTTAGTGTTATACTTCCTCAGGGCTTAGATGCTATGAAAAAATTCTTTTTACATTTCTAAAGTTGGAATGTACCATCCAATAAACGTGGAAAGAAGCTTGTTGGCCTTTCCTTTTCCATCCAAATACTGATGCTAAGTGGTGGTCTCCTTAAATCCCTGTAGAACAGAACGGGTACTTAGAGGAAGGCTGTTTGTTTTCATGAACTTTCCCAAGGCTTAGGTGACCAAGGACTAATACCAAAGCACCCTTTCCTGATACTCTTAAGTGGGCATTATGGTTGGGATTTTTTTCCATTCTCTGCCGCTGAGTCTCTCTGCTCCACCACACCGATTCCCCTAAGGACACAGGTTTGGCCTGAACCGCCTTCCTTGAGGCCCATTTCCTTGAAGGTTAGGCCATGTCTAAGCTGCCGGCAGCTGGTTGGGCTGGTGCTCTCTGGGCAGGGGCTAATGTGGAGGCCCCTCCGTCTTCTAGAACGTGTCTGTAGAACCAGAACAAGGGAAGTCCGCATCTTACCCCCACATGCTCAGCACGGACTCGCGGGTGTCGCAGGGCGGGTGATGTGAGGGAAAGGCATTGTCTTAGCTGTGTCAATGAGTCGGTGGGGTGGCCCGAGGCCTGTGTTGTGGTGCTCGTGGCTCGAGAACTTCTTCACCTTTGCATCCTCAGCCTGTCTTCCCTGAAGAAGGCGTCCCCAAAAGTGAACTGAACTTCTTTTCACAAGTGTGGTAGGATCATTTATGAAAACTCTGCTGTTCTTCCCATTCCTACGAACGTCTCCAGTACAATAACCCTATAAAGGAATTATTTATACAAAGCTGTGGCTGCATTCTGGCGTCGGGCACAGTTGAACCCGTCAGAGACGACGGTGGTGGTGGTGGTGATAATTGTCATTAGAAAGACTAAGCCTTTTATGTCACAGTGCAAGGACATTGAAAGTGACTCTCTTTATATAATGTCATTCTTTCCCTCTTGGTCTTGATACCTTGTTCTTAGGATGTTTGTTTTAGAACTTGATAAAGTTAGGTCACTATAAATCAGCTATCCATAAAACTCTCTTTTTGGAACCCATAAAACTCTGTATTGTAATTGTATATATATTATGAATATGTAATACTTATATGTATAGTTCTAGTCTCATAGATGTCAGGGTTGCAACATGTAACTTACTCATTTTATTGTCCCAGCTATTCCCATGAGCTATTAATCCATGCAATACCATGAACAACATGGAAAGGCTTTTGGGTCTTAATAAGCGTCCCAGATATTTGTTCGGTCACCACTTCCCAAATTTGACCCATAACATTCTTCAGAAAGCAGAAGAGAGAAAATGCAGTACTGGTAGGTGGGGGCTGGGTCCTGAGGGTCAATATACAGTGATTACTTGGTTTGTGAACTAGTGGTATCTGGGAATTCTTTTTTTTTTAAATCCTCACCTGAGGATATTTTTCCATTGAATTTTAGAGAGTGGAAGAGAGAGGGAAAGACAGAGAGAAACATCAGTGTGAGAGAAACACATCAATTGGTTGCCTCCTGGATGTGCCCTGACCAGAGTCTGGGTCTAGGAGGAGCCTGCAGCCTAGGTACCTGCCCTTGACCGGACTTGAACCCAGAACCCTTTGGTTTGCAGGCTGACACTCTATTCACTGAGCCAAACCGGCCAGGGCTCTGGGAATTCTGTATTCTGTAGAATTATGTGTCCTAAAATAGTCCATTTTGCCTGAATAAGAACAGGTCATCAGATACTTTGCTTTCGTCTCATTGGTGCCAGTGAAGTTCATGAATGTCTCCCAACAGACAGCAAGGTATTAAGTGACATTTTTTGGGTAGCAGTTGCAAGAGACTTAAGAGGGTTCAAGGAGGGTTCAGGGAGGTTAAAAAGAGAGAAGTCACTGTATAAATTATACGTCATATCTCTTAAGAACATTTACCAATGTCTAAATATAAAACGTAAAACATTTAAAAGAAGTAAACCAATGCATTTATTTTTTTTTTTTGCTAAATCAAATTGTGTGTGTGTGTGTGCATGCGCGCTTTCCAGACATATGAAGATCCACGAGAAGGACCCGAACAGCACTGCTGCTGCCGCCCCACCGTCCCCACTGAAGCGTCGGCGGCTGTCCTCCAAAAGGAAACTGAGTCATGACGCCGAGTCGGAGAAAGAAGACCCAGCACCTGCTAAAAAGGTCCTCTCTGCTCCCAGCCCCGATGTGCCTAGCCACGGGACTCTTGGTAGAAACACACCTAGTCTTTATTTTTGCGGGGGGGGGGGGGGCGGGGGGCACGGGCCTGTGCTTCCCACGCTGTGTAAGGTGTCTGCAGAAGAGGGTGTGTGTGCTTCCTCTGTGGAGCCCCCGGAGCCCATAAGGAAAGGGAGAGCCCGTTCCATTGCTCCTCTGCTTGTTTGTTCCAGCCAGAGTGGCAGCTGCCTCAGTGTTAGGGACTTTTACTCCCGGTGCCTGTCAAGCGCTAGGTGCTTTGTAAATACGTGTTGAATGGATGAGTGGCTGAGGGTGGATGCTGGGTGGGTGGGTGGGTGGATGTTATATTTGGTGAGTGTTTGTTCGTTGCATGAGTGAAGGACTGGTCAGGTGCATCCTAAATACCCAGGAGGTGGCCCCCGTTCCTTTTCGATGGCCTCTGGACCGAGTGTTGGCAACGCCTTAGATGTCAGCCCATGTGGGAGCCTCCCTCATGATTTCTTTTTCCTCTCCCCTAAGATGGTGGAAGACGGGCAGTCAGGTGACTTGGAGAAGAAGGCAGATGAAGTGTTCCACTGCCCAGTGTGTTTCAAGGAGTTCGTTTGCAAGTATGGACTGGAGAGCCACATGGAGACCCACTCAGATAACCCACTGAGGTAGGAGGAAGGGTGGAGTGCGCCTGCACTCGGAGCTCTTTCCCATCCCTATTACTACACACCGGGCTGAAACGATTTCACCTGGGTATGAGGATGCTCGCAAGGCCATTAAAAATGGTGTGTGAGCCAGCGGTGTGGGTCAGTGATTGAGCATCGATCTATGAACCAGGAGGTCATGGTTCAGTTCCTGGTCAGGGCACATGCCCAGATTGCGGGCTCGATCCCCAGTGGGGGAAGTGCAGGAGGCACTTGATCAATGATTCTCTCTCATCATTGGTGTTTTCCTCTCCATTCCTCTCTAAAATCAATTTTAAAAAATATTAAAAAAGAATGGTGTGCCCAAGCCGGTTTGGCTCAGTGGATAGAGCGTCAGCCTGGGAACTGAAAGGTCCCAGTTTGATTCCGGTCAAGGGCACATGCCCAGATTGTGGGCTTGATCCCCAGTGGGGGACTCTCTCTCCCTCTTCCTTCCTCTCTGAAATCAATAAAAATAAAATAAAATAAATAAATAAATAAATAAATAAAAAGAATGGTGTGTGACAACGGGCTGAAAGGTGTTAGAGCAGTGGTTCTCAACCTGTGGGTCGCGAACCCTTTGGGGGTCGAATAATCCTTTCACAGGAGTCGCCTAAGACCACTGGAAAACGCATATATAATTACATATTGCTTTTGTGATTAATCACTATGCTTTAATTATGTTCAATTTGTAACAATGAAAATACATCCTGCATATCAGATATTTACATTACGATTCGTAACAGTAGCAAAGTTACAGTTATGAAGTAGCAACAAAAATAATTTTATGGTTGGGGGTCACCACAACATGAGGAACTGTATTAAAGGGTCGCAGCATTAGGAAGGTTGAGAACCACTGTGTTAGAGAGAAGGTGCTGTGGTCACAGGCCGTGCTCACTGAGGTTCCCTGCGTCCTTCACTCCTGGGAGGCCCGTGCACACGCGTCTCCTCACAGCTTTTAGGCAGCAGACCCACTGTCCTCACAGAAGGTGTTGCATCCCAGATGACACTAGCTGTGCAGGAGTGTGCGATGTGGGCAGGAGAGGCCGAGCAGGTGCTGTAGGTGCAGGTAGGTGGCACTGGACTGACGGTAGCACAGGACACGGAAAATGTATTTTGGTGTGAGACCAAGTTCAACTTCGTGCGACATTTGACCTAAAGTGAAGCCCGTCCCAGAGAAACAGTGATGGGTGATAGTCCTGCTGGTCAGCCTCAAGGTTAGGTCTCCCCGCCCTTCCTCGCAGAAAGTGCACGTGCTGATACGACTTCCAGCAGAATTTGGGGTTCTGGGGGGCGGGGCACTCAGCTTTCTTTCCCAACCTTCCCTGAGAACTTTCATCCGGTAGAAAGCCCTGTGTTCTTAGTGAGCAGATAGGCTTGGAACCTTTTCCTATGCAGCTGCCACTTTTTAAATTGGTAAGCATTGGAATCAACTCGGTGCCAGGGGGAGCCTCTGGTGCCGTGTGCCGCTGGAAAGTTGCGTGTCTGCCAGGGTCACCCAGGGCAGGTGTCCGCATGCAGGGCTGTGGCTTCGGGTTTCAGGAGACAGTGGGGGTTGTGGAAATCTGGACGTCTGTGTATGGGCCACATTGCCTTCCTGAGATACGTGTTTGGTTGTGACTGAGGAGTGAAGGGGTCTGAACAAGCCGGACTTTTGTGTTGCGGGAGAAGTCTAATTAATAGTATGGTAACATAAAGCTGTGTCAGGTATCATTATCGTTAATCACATTAGCTTGACATTTTTTTCATTAGGGGAAAAAGGGATTTATGACAAGTTCAAACTGCTGAGCAGTGAAGTGCTGTAAAATGTCCCTCCATAACTCCCCCATTTTGAGAAATTGCATGACACGTGGAGCGGTCAACCCCTGGGTCCCCCTCCTGTCTGCTCACAGGGGACTTGACCGGCTGCATCTGAACCTTGATGGAGAGCTGACCAGACGACCCCTGCGGGCCCTTTCAGGCCTTCAGTTCTGTGAAGCTGAAACCTGTCTCTTAACAGTTGTTCTTTGTCTACCAAGAAACAGCATTTGACTCTTATAAGCCCTGTAGTTCTGAGAGATTCAGGAACTTGACTTCGTGGTTTTATTAACATCCACAGCATTCCCAGGATGTGGGCTTGTGGTGGGTGGTGAATATTGAATTAGCTCTCCAGACTGAGGACCTGAGCAAACAGAGGTGAAGTTACCTGAAGTCACATGGCAAGTCGTGGGCAGGGACAGTAATAGCCGTGGGACCCCAAAATCCTTTCACTGCAAAGTAAACACACTGCTAGTCTATGAGTCCCTACACGTTTTGTTTCACTTCATGCTTTATTCTGTGTTTAGATATCGTTAGGAACTACCCACTTGCCCCCTTCTGTGTAATTCTGCCCTGCAGGGAACATAACTTGAGTCTCAGTAGAGATTGTGGGTGGCTGGAGCCTGCACAGTGTATAGCAGTGATAAAGACCAGGTGTCCCCTTCTTAAATGCCGACCTGCACCAGGGTGTGGGTTCTCCTGGTGGAGCCTTCTAGACAAGCAGCTTCTCCAGGGCAGGCTGGGCTTGCTGCTCCGAGAGGCTAGAATGGGAAATGCACTGGACACAGTGGTTCTGTTCTGCACAATTCAGAGGGTAATACACTCACCGTGACGCTAGGGCCACCGATCGGCTGTGATTTGAACCTCAAGTCCTGCCTGTTTTCATTGCCTACTCAGGTGTAATACCCTTTGTTTGGTGAGGGCTTGACTGGAGAAGTTTTATAGCTTGGCAGGGACTCAGCCCCTCCTGGAAGTCCTCCCTCCCACCGGAGCCCCTGGATGCTGCATCCACAGTGCCCAGCAATGACCATAAGAAGGGCTTGCCTTGCTTCCATTGTGGGACAACCAGGCCATGCCCTGTCTAGCGGTTATTGCTAGTTGGGGTGGGGCTTGTGTCTGGAAACCAAAAGGAGCTGATTACAGAACATAGTTAATTTCCCTTTTCTCCTCACTGCTCTGCCTTTCCACATAATAGCCTGCTATCAAGGAGACCATGGGGGCAGGCAGGAGCCAGCAGGGCCCAGCCAGGCAGTGAACTGTGACAGTAGCTGGTGGGAGAAATTGCTTGTTAACCCAGAGCTAAAATAGGCACCAACTCCATTTGCAAACACCAAAGGCAGCAGAACCACAGTGGGATAGATGCTACCAGTTTAGACAGAAAGTTTATAACTCAAAACAGCTGTTGGCTTCTCGTCTCTCCTGCCCTTACCCCCACCCCCACTGGAAAGATGCTTATTGTTTCTTAATAAAAAAAATGTTGGAAATCTAAACTCATATAAACGCTGAGGCCGTTGTGCTCCACTCCCCTGTGTTTCAAATTAACGAAGTGTCAGTGTAGAACGACAGGAAGACATGAGGCTGCTTCTAGTGATTCTAGCTCTGGCTGGTTATTGCCTGGGCCCTGTGACTAGCAGTAAACCAGCCATCTATGGGGCTCCCAGACAAGAAGTGCGGGGCTTCTGGAGACCTGGCATTTGGAATTGGAGGTGATGGGCAAGAGTGTTCAGCGAGCAGGTGGATGCAAAAAGGACATCCCTGTGTGAGGATGTTGCAGGGTGTTGAATTTCCTGCTTGGTTATAAGAATAGAACAGAGTAACAGGCCGTACACTTCCATGAATAAAGTTAGCTGGGAGGGAAGTGCAGCTCCGTGCCCACAGGTAGGAAGGGAGCTATGGATATCATTTTAAATTTTCTAATAGCCACGTTTTAAAAAAATAAAAAAGAAACGTGAAATTGATCGTGCTTTGTTGATTATACCAATATGTCCAAAATATAATGTGAACATAAGTACAATATAAAAATTGTCAGCGACATGTCTTAGTTTCTTGTCTATGTACCAAGTCTGCAGTCCACAGTGTGTGGTATGATCACAGCCCATCTCAGTTTAAGCAGGCGTGTTTCAAGTGCCCAGCAACCACCTCACAGGTGCAGGCCTAGGATAAGCCCACCGATAGCAGGGATGGCGCCACGGCAGCGGCTTTCCTTTGTGGGCCCCTGGTCTTGTGTCTGAATGACTTATGTCTGGCTGACTGGGGCTGGGCCTGGACCAGTGACAGCAGGGTGGTCACCATGGTGATGTGGCTGCAGCTGGGGGCACAATCTGGCAAAAGTTATTGTACAATCTTACATGGCTGCTTCTTCTTCTTTTTTTTAATTGATTTCAGAGAGGAAAGGTGAGAGAGAGAGATAGAAACATCAATGAGGAGAGAGAATCATTGATTGGCTGCCTCCTGCACGCCCCCTACTGGGGATGATTGAGCCTGCAACCTGGGCATGTGCCCCTGACTGGAATCGAACCTAGGACCCTTTAGTCTGCAGGCTGACACTCTATCCACTGAGCCAAACTGGCTAGGGCTTACATGGCTTCTTGATTGAAAGAAATCAGGTAATAAATGATTTTTCAATCATTTTAGCATATGATTGAGTGCTTATTATATTTTAGGCGATTGACTAGACTTGAGAAAAAAAATAGTGATGTTGGAGATAGGACCCCTCAAGGGATTTTAGAAAGTAAATGAGGAGTAAAAAAAGCAAAGGGGACAGATTCAGGACCTGAGGGGCATGGTGCCCGTTGTTCAAGCAGAGGGAGCTGATCCCGCTGGGTGGAGCTTCCCTGGGCATTTCACATCAGGTGTGGTAGTGCTCCCCGCAACCCTCTGCTGGAGGCCCTCCTCCGTTGAGTGGGTATGGCCTTGGTTGTCTGTGAGGTGATTTCACATTTGAAGGCAGTGCCCTCAAATCCCTGTCAGGGAATAGTCCACTGGAACCCAAGGGGGCTCCAATAGGCAGGATGTGGGCGGGGAGGGGAGTACTGCTGTAGGTGTGGATGGGCTGGGCCCTCCTCGTCTTGGCAGTGGAGAGGTGCCAGAACCTTCTTTCCTGGGGATTCTGAAGTGTTCCAAAGAGTGTTCCACTCCCTGTACTGCACACACACGCACACACACCCATGGCCTGCAGGAAGGCCTTC